ATATGTTTGTAATATATGAAATAAATACTGTTTAAACCAAGCTTGCGCCATTATTCTTGAAGTTTGGGAATTTAGTATGCTTTTGTCCAATAATGATATTTTATTGGACTGGTAAATATTCAATAAAATATATAAACGTTTTAAATCTTTTTACATCTCGGTGTAGTATATTACTCTAAGTATCTATTATAAATAAGCGCTTCACACAGTTGTAAGACAGACAGTCCAAGACTGACCAGGATGGGTGGTATGAAATGCTGAAAATATACAGCTCGAACCTAGGTACAATTTCGGCGTAAAAATTAGGACAATTTATAACACGTTATTGCAACAATAGCATACATAATATATAATACCAGTGTAACAGGTCTGCATTGTTGAAACTGATCTTGAGTAGATAAACCGCTACAAATATTGCATTGAATTTCTACTTGCCATGACTGCACGGGGCGTAAGTGTTTACATGCAATTTAAAAAACAAATGAAAAATTGATTAATGTAACAAGAATAGTGATGTTATTAAACATGTTGGTTGAATTGGAAGGATTCAAACCCATGGAGCGCAATTGGAAATTTCTGACCTCAGGGTCATGCGGGTCTCAAGATCTTGTTGGTCACTTCTGTATTGCGTGATTCAGGAAATGTATATTTAAAGGGACTCCACTGAGGTGTTTTGACATGATGGGACTGAAAATATTTATTTGAGATAAATGTTCCATTTGATGTATGTTTGAGACCACTAATCTTTGTGTAAAATTTCAGATCATTCGCGCACTTCGTTTTTCCAGAATATTAATTCAAATTGTAAATAAATGACCAAAAATGAAAAGCGTTTAAACGCTTTTCATTCAAATTCACCTAATGAAAAGCTTAAAAATATGATTTTCAATTTTTTTCAAAGTATATTTCTCAACTTTCTTTGCCTATATTTTTGTATAAAGTGCCCCTGCTCATTTATGTAAGAAATTCAAATGTTATGTTTTAGGTTTTTAAACCTTAGTGGAGTCCCTTTAAAAAGTTGATGTGTTGATGCTTAATTTTATAGTTCACGTTGATTGAATGCACTTATAGTATACATGTATCTAGAACATATTTGAAGCAGTTTGAACGCTTTTGCTATATTAATATCTCGAAAAAATGCACTGTCAAATGTATATACATTTAACTTGCAGTTGGAATGGTTTTGCTAAATTCATATCACGAGAAATGGAACTGGAACTTAACTCGAGATCTTGGTGGTAACTACCCAAATTATTGTGTTTCAGATAGTGTCATATTTGATTCATGAGTGCTAGTATATATATTTGTTAGAATGCTGCTTTATTTGCTAAAGTTGAATAACCTACATGACAGTGTTGTATTATAAATCATAGAATGGCTGGGCAAGACTTTTTTTCAGTATTCAATTCGCCGGAGCCAATAAATATATGATATTGGCGAAGCCTTCGACTGGAAAACGGGAAATCTCCCGTTCACCATCCGAAGTCTAGTGGCGGCCGGCAAATAGACATTTTGTGATACTGGCGATACTGGTTTCTGCTTCCAAGAATCAATTTCGCGCAACAGTGTCAATGCTTTGTTGTTGCTCATATACATTTGTGAAAATTGACTATTTTGTGAATGAAGAATTGAAAGACTAGTATTGTTTGAAGAGCTTTGATCAATGGTTTTCTAGAACATACTGTTCCAAAAATTTATACAGTTTGTTCCATTTGATTGTTTTGATTTTGTGTCATTTGTTTGTTTTGTTAGGGAAGCCCTCACAGGGTTTTGTATGCCCGGTATCCCAACCTTTTGGCTTTTGTATTAATGGAGTCGTGTTCATAAAATGCCAAAGATTAACTAAGACATTACTCAGTGAACAAATCAAATATGCCACTATGTATCACTATAAAATAAAATTAGTGAAAGTTTGATATTGTTTTGTTGTTGTCCCAAATAAACTTTGTGTAATCTTTTCATGAACATCTTGGAATCCGAATTAATTATGAAACATAATATTCTTAAAAAAGGATATTGAAAATATGCACCAGCAGTTTTCTTACTCTAAATTAATATTTAAAGCTACATGCCTCCAAATGAGTCAAAATAATTCAGGACAATCAAGCTTGAGAAACATGTACTATATTTTTAGAAAAGTAAAAAGCATCGAGATTCAAGTAATAATTTACAGGTGTGAAATTTTAAAGACAGATTATATTATAATTATCACCATTTTTCGTGTGTGTTACATGTAATTACATTGCTGCATATTTTGACATTTTTTGTTTTTGGTACTTTACATGAATTGTAGCTGTTGGACAGAAATTTGAAAATTCCTTTCTTTGTTTTCTTAACAATATTTAACTTTGAAATACATTTTCAAAATTTTCATGGAAGTTAGCATGAATCTGGAGGCAACTCGTTTAAGGATAGAAATCCCATCCTTAAAGAACAAAAATTCTCCGTATTTTACAATTTAAAGGGGCAACGGTTTGCGAAAATAACATTTTTAAAGACATTAGTTAAATATCGATCAAGCAGGAGTCTGTATAAGAGCCTTAAAGGAAAAGTTTATAATTATTTCTTTTTCGTGTATTCTGTTATAAGGAACTTAGGAATTGGACCGCAGATTGCGGCTTACATTTTCTATCCTGTAGCGGATTTTAAAAATGCTTCTCGCAATTATCTTAGTATCATTTCATATTATCCGAGTGTATGACCTCTATGAATATATTATCAATGTAACATTTAGACTTGCTACTTAAAGACCCATTATGCCTCATAAATGCTTTCATTTTTATTTCTTGTTTTTTTTTTTCATTTTTGGTATTCTTGTATTACAGTTTTTAACTAACTCATTGGCCATTTACCTAAACTGTCTTCTTCTTCTGCTGTTGCTTGGCAATTTGTATATTTATAGTGGTGACTTTGTATGGGAGTCAAAATGCTGTTTTGTTAACATTTTTTCTGTCTTTATGACGGATAATTATACATTTAGTGATAATTCATTCAGTTAACAAACATCTAACATGCCCTAAAACCATTATCTAAACGTTGTAAATTAAACTTTAGTCTTTCTAAAGAAGTTAATATTTATTCATTTCTGAGGCATAATGTGCCTTTAAAAAGTGGCCTAATTTGATGGTTCTTTTTTCTATATGCCCTTGGTTTGACCTATTTTTTAAACTAGCAGATTATATTAAATTGAGATTACTTATTTAAAGACCACCAACTTGGATGATATGAAAAGATATTCAAATGTCGGACAAACAAGTAAATTTTAATAATTAATTTTAGAATCAATAAACTTAGAATGGGATTATCCCATCTTCCTTCCATGGCAGAGGTCGTACGTAGAGACTACCCTGTCATGGGGGATATGGTATGCACATAACACATGTACCGATATAACATTCAGTAAATACACATCAGCTCCCCTATTCTTAGGTTATAAATGAAGTATATGCTCGCCCATATGGTCTCTTTCCGGTGGCGAGGGAAAACAAACGCAAACACACACACACACGCACGCACGCACACACACACACACACACACACACACACACACACAAAGGAATGTTTGACAGTTAATTGTTGCCTTTCTATAGAAGTTCCTCCCATATATTAGCCAAGATCAAACCATGGTTAGTTCTTAAGACAATGTTCAAGAAAATTGTTGTCACTTGAAATGGAAGGAAGAGGCTTTGGTGGCCAAGTGAATTTGTGTTTGTATCCAGAACATAGATAATCTCTTAAAAACGTATAAATTTTTCTATGAAGCCTTTGGTATTTATTCATAAAAACCGTGTCAAATTTTTACACATAAATTTTGTATATCGTTTTGAATTACAATACATTTAAAATCTTAATAAGAAGGTCTTCAGTTCATTTCGTTACCGAGATAAAGGATTATATTGTCGGAGATTGAATTTTGTGGAAGATGTTGTCCTTGCAATAATTTCCGGGGACAAGGACAGATTTTTAAGAAAACAACTTCTGCTAATTTAACCATATACTTTTATTTTCCCTTAAACAAAGATGATTATTTATCAAGAAGATGTGCACATATGTTTACGGTCATATTTTAGATACATGTACTTTCGACTACATGCCTTCTTAGAAGCATATTCAAGTTGATGATTCAACGTTCTTGGAAAATATGCTATATATGATTCAATATTATTTCCGCATACAAGATCCTTTGCTTTTATGTGCCGGTTTTTATGATATAATGACAGCAAGATGTCATAAAAAACTTGAAAAGAGACAACTGCCGTAATTCAATTCTTCTTAAAATGTGGTTTCACTTTGTTTCCAGATTTTTTTTTCAACAACCACCAACTGCATAAGGATGCTTTTCAAATGGTTTTTAAAGAACATTTCGGTATAATAGATACGAATCACAAATCTGTTATTTTGTACTTAGTGTAATATGAGATATAATGATTTACAGTCATGCACATACATGTATATGTTAGCCTATGATAATAAAATAGAGAGAAATAGAATCCCTAAAGAAAATCCGAAACGGCAAAATTGATAATTGTAGGCTTGGTTTGATTGAACCTGTTCCTGGACAGTACTGGAAAGTGCAAGCTACTTTCCACACTCCTAGCACCGGCTAAAGCAGTATTCAAATTTAAACATGCAATGGTAAAAGTTTGAATTTAGAGACATCCGCAGATGTGTTCATACGACGGTGATCATTGAACCTTTAATGTGACACGTAAGTGCCATTCCACGAAAAGCAGCGTATGGTCCCCAAGTAAAAAAAATTGCTTATGCCCTAAACGAGAAAACAATGGGCGGAACTCAACAAAGTGGAATTTCGAAAGAGGATTAGAGGTTATCAAGCCGGCATATTTACAGAAAATTAAGCGGTCAAAAGACCAATTTAAAAAGCAGGACACATATATACTTAGGGCAATTATACATTAGTCAAGTAAGGAATATTGGAACCACCAAATTAGAAATAGCCAAATTGAATGAACTAAAATACCACAAACACAACAATGATGTCGCGTTAAACGATCTTTAAGGATCAGAAATACAAGTATAACATTCCTTATTGTATGCACATGCTACTTTAGCAGTTCAAACGTTGTACATTAGCACATAAACATTGTTACACATACGAAGGCTGCCCTTTGTGTAAAACATACATGTACATCAATGTAATATCAATTTACCATATGGTAATACAAGTTCTTGAGATCCAACCTATAAAAATTCATTCTATGATTGATAGAGGATATCGAATAAGTGTCAGTTCCATACTTTTATTGAATTTATTGAACACGCATGCTACACGAGCCTGTCCTGGCTGATTTAATTCAACTCGTTACTCAAGAAGGTTCAAGTTTATAAGTGCGTATTTATTACAAAATTAAATTGGTAAGACGTAAATTGTAAATACGTACTAATAAACTTGAACCAGCTTAGTGTTTTATTTTTTTTATTAACAGTCGATTTACTAGACTGTTTATTTGAAATACTGCAATCCTATTGTGCAAATATTATTTCAAACACTAAATTCAGTATTGAACCTACACATATGCAACATACTTTCTGTAATGTGCCACTAACAATGCACATTATAAAGATTATGTCAATTATAATTACGCACGATCACAAGAAAACAGCCTATTACACGAGCTTCTAAATTTAACATCCAATATTCCATAAATAAGCGGGTTTACGGCACTGTTGATAAAATATGACCTCAGAAAAAAATTATAAACTGTTCTCTGAGTGTTGTCCAATGATTCTAGAAATGTTTTGTCCAATGAACGGGTCAAAAGCAATGAAATTACTGGTGTAAAGGAGACAATAGCTGCTAATGACACCATAAACATGATTTTAGAAGTTTTGTATTGATTTGGCCTGTTCTTAGTGTGACATAGATTATTTTTACTTGCTTTGAATTTTCTTATATTCACATCTGTTTCTTTATCTCTCTTTCCCGGGCTGTCATTCAAGTTTGAATCTTGCTCAGATTCAAGCGTTACGCCAGTTTGCTCGTCGGTCATTTCATAAGACATTTCAGTTGTTATTTGTATTCGGTTGCGATTTTCTTTGGTACCAATTCTGTCCTTACTGTCTTCGGTGCCAATTCTGTCCTTACTCTCTTCGGTGCCAATTCTGTCCTTACCTTTGTGTTTCCATTTCATCTGTTGCCTTATACGTACTGCTATACAGCTGTAGAAACTGAATGTGACGATAAAAACCCCAACGAAACAGATGGCAAACGTTAAATTGTTAATAAAAGGAAATAGTGTTTCCTTCATATCATCTGTAACTGCACATTGAAAAATTGTAACATTATAAACTTTATGTTTTCCTTTTTGTATGTCATAGATAATTGCAGAAATCCAAGAACAAGCCAGTCCAACACCTACTGATGCCAGGCACATATATTTTGCTGCTTTAAGTGAAACCTGCCAATTCAAAGGGAAGCAAACCTTTCTGAATCTGTCAAATGCAATACAAAGTAGGACGAAGCAAGAGGTCATCGTTGTCCACGTATTCATTAACAGCGAAACTTTACATAGCCATTTATTATCATAGTTGTATTTATGTATCTGCATTACAAACTGTAGCGGAAGACATATACAGCATGTAAACAAATCGACCGAAGATACAAACGTTACAAAGGTGCGGTATGTAGACCTGCGTTCAGTCTTTGCAAACACATAGCATACCAACGAATTTCCAACGATTCCGATCATACTTATAACAATAAGATAAATCATCAGTGGAATCTGTCGTTTTACTTCTTCATTATTTAACTCATTCAGAGTAACCGAATCATTTTGAAAGACCATCATTGCCTTACACGTTTGTTTCGATGTTTGGAAGCTCGATGCTTACAACAGCTGCATGTTGCCAACGTTTTTGCTTATCACACAGAATTATCAATGATTCTTCATCTTACAATTAATTGTTAGTAACTAAAACGTACTATAATTGTATTTTGTATCCATTAAAAACTCCATTCAATGAGTAAACATTTCTTTTATTGTTCCGATAGTGAGTCTTCGAATAAAGATATACAGCACTTTGTAATATTTAATACATACAGATACCAACGTGCTAAATATGAAACTCGGTCTGTTGTAGGAGGCGGACGGAAAGATGATACATTAATGATTCATAGCTCGAAACAGGATGAACAAAATAAAACAATCCTTTTTTTTTCCTTGTGTGTTTTGCTTTGTCAAACGGAGAAAATAATTCATTCTTTGATACATCTAAAATAAAACCCCTTATTGGCATTATATTACGAAATAGTTATCATCAACCATATTAAATGCTACACAAAACTATACCTGGTGTTAATGACCTTAAAAAATTGTTTAATTTTATCTAACAACTGTCAATTGCGTTCATTTGTAACATATATCAAGGATAAAACATGAAAACGTGTGGAATTTGTTCTAGATCATGAATATCTTTCTATAATTCATACATAATTTATTCTACCACTTCTTGAATATTCAAATGTAGTATGATGAAACGCATTTCAATATGAAATTGATTAGTAGAAAAAATACAAAACCAATGTACTAGAATAGTTCTCTTTAAAAGTTGTTTATAGCAAGATTAGGCAGAACGAAGGCTGTTTCTTCTGTCTCACAAAAATCTAGAATACTGCCAGGTGTAAAGGTTTTCTAACTTTCATATATCAGACCGCAGGTGATAAACACGATTTCAATATGCTCCCTTGATCATATATGATACATGTCTATTGCTCAAAGCTTGTAATTATATATATCTGAATTGACTTCGTAATGTTCGTGGCTTCTGTGTGAAATAATGTAGTGCAAAATAGCCTGACTTAATCAGTAAAACAATGAATTCAAATGACTTTATAATTTCCACACATTTGTTGTTGTTTTCTACCATTATAAAGTTTAACCGGATACTTGACATTCGAAAAGAAATATGATAAATAGTATCTTAGAAAATCATAAAATATTTGTAGAATATGCGGAGCCGCCTAGGAATTACTGACTTTGCATTTTGCGCTTTATGCTTACAATTGTTACTTAATGACGCAATTTTATTTCGATAGTTTTAAGGAAGCAGTACACTAGGGAAAAAAATATCTTTTTCGTCGTTTTGTATGGCTTTGAAGAGCATATTAAAGTACAACATTTGTACTCTATTGACAAATGACAAATATGTTCATTGAGAATTTTTTTTTCGCAAATAATTTTATTACAGACAAAACATTACAATATTACATCTGCCCTTTAATAACCTCGTACATTTTGTTCTCATACAGGAATTATAATCTGATTTTATTGACCTGTCAATTATGAATACATTATAACACTCATTTAAACATTCTTTCCCACTTCGGTTCTCTTCGTGTAGTTTACGAGAATTAATTAGGAGTACAAATGTAAATAAATAATGTTTTGAAAAGTTACATTGCTATATAGGTCGTCGTCATATTCGCAATAGCACATACGGTTAACTAGTTGCCGAATATATGTGAGTTATGTGGTTTGATCCCGACAGTTGGCATTGTTTTAGAGCAACTCTTTCTTTACTTTTGCAGTATATCTAAATAGAAATGACCTAGTGTTTGCAAAATTATCTACACGGATATGAAGCAACTTAAAAACTGCTTTGTCTCGATTTTTATTGTGTATTACGTAACTGAAATGATATTTATTAATTTTTAATGAATTTCAAATATTAAGTCTTAATTCAAGCATATGAACATGACCAAGTCAATTGCAAAACATGTTAAAACAAAAGAACATCAAAATTATAAAACAATCATAGCTTCAATGATGTTGAAAAAAAATAACAAAGAACATGGACCTACGCTGTCTAGATCTTACAATACGTATACAAATCAGTAGTATAATTAGTTCCTAGACACAATTTAAAAAAATCGCAACTTACCGTTTCATCTTACGAAACTTAACGAAAGTCTATCGAAGATTACATGTAATATATTGTATGCATTAAACGTATAATCAGTATGCCTTTGTCATTGACAGGTGAATACAATGAAACAATATCTAAAACGGTCATACACTATCGTGTATATTTATCCTGTCAATTTCAAAAATGCACAAACTTGTTATTTATTTTCAATAACTAATACAACATGTTTTTCTTAATTGAGGTAATTTCATGTAAATCATCGCAATACTTGGGCCTTTATATCTTTTGTCTCTATTCTCCACAATCAATCCTTAATAATTTGCCATTTTCCATTTGTTGGTTTTTGCCATAGTAGCTCTCTTATTTATATATTTTCACCACTATCAGTACAATTTTTATCCCTTGTATAAAACAAAGTTCTACGTCAGATTAAATGTTGTTGTATTTTCTAGATCTATATCTAACAGCAAGCATCAGTTTGGTTATAAGGTCCTGATGCTTTTTCTCAAAGGCACGTTATCTCACTAAACCAATTAATATTTTGATTCTTTAGAAAGGACAATTATGAATTTTATAATGAATAATAATGGTTTAAGAGAATGAGTTCCATACAAAACACTATAACTGTACTAATTGCTAAAAAGCAACAGATGAAATAAAATTGTTCAGGGAACTGGCCAATTATTAACTTCCTGGAAACTATTTCTTATATAATTATGAAAAAACCAAAAAAAAATATATTTATAAAATAATTAAACATTGAATCATCTCTGGGCCTTTAAATCACATATTTTGACTTTCACAGTCGGTTTAAACAATATTTTATATAATCTATACATTTACATAATAAGGTACATAGAATAAAATTAACAAATTGAGTAGGAAGCTTGAAAACCTTTTAAGAAACTCTCCGTAATCAGTATTTAACTAATTTTATATAGATAGAAACAAAAAATGCAATATATAAACTAAACTATTCATATCATATCGACTTTTGCTTGCTTTTCTACGTATATATATTATCTTAAATATAATAAGTATTCATGAACTAAATTCTTACTGTTCGATCTGAGGCATTAGCACGAATAAGAATTATTTCTGTTTTTTAAAGATACATTGCTTTGTTTAGCGTTGTTCTTTCATAGTTAAATCATATCCACGTTTTTGTAGCATTTATCATTGCAGATCAAAAATAAAGAAAAGTCATCACAGAGATTAAGAAGGAAAACAAGTTAAATGCCACATTTTCAAATATTTATAACAGAGGGCGCTAATATGACGCCAAAAGTTACTATATTTACGCTGAATAGTGACCTTTAACCACGTTTAAATGAAATAGTTCACTTTATGAATGTAAAAGAAAGTCAATAATCTTATTATCCCAGCTGTGTTGCTATCATATGACAGTAGATAACGATTTGTTAGTACATTTGTAGGAATTGTCTTTTGTTAATTATCTATTGTTTCCATAAAGTGTGTTTCCATAAAACTTTCCATATAACTCATTATTACGTCAAGGTTTTTTATTGTTTTTTTTTTAAGTATTGATTGATGACTATATAAAGGAAGTTTCCATTTTATGTGAATATTGAAATATGTAAATCTATGTATACGTACATGTAAGACATCTGAGATACTTCCTTTGCGTACCGGAAGTTGGTTATCTTAAGTTTATTCATGTCTATTTAGACGCGAATATTTATATTATAAATAACCCGGATCTATTATTCATACATAACTGCAGGACACTTTCTATTCGAGTTTAAATCTGATTTTGGATAAAAGAATATTAACTATATCAGTTAACAAAAACTGCTGTGAATTTTACTTCCGCTTTTTGAAAACAAATAAACATAACAACGACATCAACTATGGTGGTAAGTGTGTGTTAAGATATTTGGAAGATTTAATCTTTATTTTTTATGTTTTATTCACTATTTTAGTAGTTTAGTTTCAGTTTTGTTAAAAGTGGCATTGTGTATTATTTACTGCATTCTTTCTGATTTTCTATACTGTTATAATTAATGTATAGTATACTGACAGACGACATTTTATCGTGAACAAACGAGCCGCGTCACGACAAAACCAACATAGTGCGTTTGCGACCAGCATAGATCCAGACCAGCCTGCGCATCCGCACAGTCTGATCAGGATCCATGCTGTTCGCTTGCAAACTCTATAACAAGTAGAGAAACCAATAGCGAACAGCATGGATCCTAATCAGACTGCGCGGATGCGCAGGCTGGTCTGGATCCATGCTGGTCGCAAACGCATTATGTTGGTTTTGTCGTGACGCGGCTCAAATAACTTGATAAGATGTTATTGTCCTGTTATGATATTATTTTTGTGATTTTTTTTAGGAATACAGTTAATTTTTATTCAAAACATATAGTTAATTATATGTGTGTTTTCATTTGGGGTCATAGAGATACGTTTCTTGAATATGAACCTTGGTGAGATTCTAAAATAACATTATATTAAAGTGTACAATTCAAAATATCTGCTGCATTTTTTAAGGATACGTTTAGATTACCTGTACGAAAGAGATACGTTTGTTAATTTCTGGCACATAATTTTTAACAATTGTTACCTGTGTGAAATGCTTTTTTGTTACGGAAGATTTTATTCTGTTTATGTACTATATTCATGTGTGTTTAATAACAGACATTTTCAGTTACAAATCTTTCAATAATCTACCATTTTATCATGGAAACAAGAAAATTTACTGTTTATAAAGTTTATAAAAAATATTCATAAGATAAAAATTAATACCCTTTAAATCTAATCTTTTTGTCGTTTTAATGTTATACTTGGGTGTTTCAATTTTTAAATTTCACGAATATCATTTAAAATGTTTTATATATTGCCAGGTGTCCTAAGTTCGGCGTTATTTTAGATCTAACAACCCTTTCTGTATCATAGTCTCGTGTGAGTACTCTGTTTAAAAAGAAAAGAATTCGATTCACTTCAGTAATGTAAATTTTATCTATATGCGCGATTTTTGTAACACTTTAGTAAAGTAAATTTTATATGTCTTCAAAGTTTTATCTATTATATAAAAGTGTGAGTTTTAGTAAAATTGCCCAGGCCACTCGAGGATTTTATCTTTTAAGGACTGTATTTACAAGTGTATATTGGAACAAAGGAATGAATCGATGACCAAATTTTGAAAATTGTGCTAGTTACGAGTACGTGTCACTGAGTCAGGGCAGAGGAGTTAAAAGTTTATCACAGTTTTTTTCTGATGTTCTCCCTTGAAACAGTCACAACGCTATATTGTCATTTGTTTTAATTGAAGACTACTTAAAATGAATATCCGTAGCACTGATTGTAAATTCAGTCTGGTTTGATGTCAGTCTGGTTTGATGTCAGTCTGGTTTGATGTCAGTCTGATTGTCAGTCTGGTTTGATGTCAGTCTGGTTTGATGTCAGTCTGGTTTGATGTCAGTCTGGTTTGATGTCAGTATCACAATATTAAAATATCTATCCGTAGACACTTCTGATGATAATATTAATACTAGATAGATGCAATTGCGATAGAACAAAACATTAACCTTCAAAGTGTAAAATTTACCGTTCAAATTTAATACTAGTAGTAGTAGTTACAAATATCAAGGCACATTTGGCTCTTTTGATAAAAGGAATAATAACCATTTTAATGAATGTGTTAGATCATAGTATTCTAGTATCTTCTTTCGTACACAGAAAATTTTTGAAGTGACGAAATAATTATTTAAATTGCTTATTATTTTATTAAAGTTATTTTGTATCAATTAAAGCTACTTAGCTTTAATTAGTACAAGATCAATGCAGGCAAATGCTTGTAAGTCGTTACTGAGCTATAAAGAGATTTTTTTTCCATATGAATGACATTTCAAAATACGTGAACACTTAAACAGGCAAGTTTATTTTTGGTATATGTAATATGCATTCTGATGAGCGACTCAGACCATCTTGACCTTTTGCTTTCTCTTCTCAGGGGATCACAGTTGTATAAAATTATAATCGGATTCATTACCTTATAAGGGCCATAATTCTACGTTCTACGCCAAGTACATTTTAATTGTCGCAGGGAGATCATAACTATAATGATAATTATGACCGGGAACTAATGATCTGTTCGTCGTTCATGTATTGTAATTGTCATGCTTTGCTGGATAAAGGCAGCAGACTTCTAGTTTTTCATGGGAATACAGGTGCTTAAGTAGAAAAGCAGCTTTCCGTAACCTAGCTAAATAATATAGTTGTATGACCGTTACCATACTGAAACTGAATCTGATCAGTATATTACCAGTCTGGCAGTCTTACAAGGCACTCCACTGCTGGTTGCTCATTTTTTCAAATTTAATTTCCTTAAATTTCGAACGAAATGTTCCAAATTCACATGCAGGTCTTGTCTATACATAAATTCAGTACCAAGGTTGTGAGAGCGAAGTGATTTGTTGTCAATTCCCACACGGATGCTCATTGTTAGAAACAAATATGACGATATATTATAATTGCTAACAGTTGAACTTTACTATTACATTGTTGGAACAGTTTTAAGTATAAATTTGACAGTGAAATATAAATGATTCATTTCTTATATAAGAGAAGAAGATATTGTCGTTATTATTTCGACAGCGTCTCGAAGAATTTGCATTTCAGGTATTTCTTGCAAAATATAATCTGGCAATATTAGTATTTCATAGGAATTCACTTCATTAACAGTTTGTGAGACAGAAGTTACTGAATTAGTTGGATGTACAGTAATAATAAAAGCACTTACAGTATGTGGCATATTTACTTTTTTACTACATTGTATTTCAAATTCCTTTTTTGTGTAACAATTGTTTAAAAAAATATTTTTGGCTTCAGCCTGTGTGTGTGTGTTTTTGTCTGTTAGTTTTATTGTTATGTTTTGTTTGCTTTTTTGGTGGGTGGGGATTTACGCATATGGAGTTGACTTATTTCATTCTTTATGTTTTGTTGTTATCAAAGGTTGTAAAATTAAACAGCCATACAGCAGTAAATTGAGGTTTTGGTTTTTAGTTGATGGCCAGCACAGCACAAAGTTACGGACATTCAGTTCGTGTGTCTGTGCAGGTTTTAAGAATATTTAATAAGCGAATTTTGAAAGTTACTTATATATACATTTTCGATCACTTTTTATTGTCCCTTTTAAAATGCGTCCGCCGTCCCTTAATGATTAAGAACACTGCTTGGCTTCAGGTCATTTCCGGCTTAACGCTTTAAATTCGAATTCCAGAAAGAATTGGTTATCTACTCAAACGTCTGTTCTTGGTTGAAGTAATTATCATGGCAAAACAATTCAGTTTTCTACCAGTAGAAAATCTAAAATATCGCCATATGACTTTAACAGTGTTGATAGGGCAATGCTACAAAATACAACTGTAAAAAAAGTCCCTTTAGATGTTAATCAACATTTACTGAAATGACAATATTTTTTCAGAATTTTACTCCAGACTCCGACATGACTGATTGTTGCAGCAAATGTGGATCACACGCTAGTAAGACTCTATATCATTACTTTTTTAAGAAATAGTTCAAGTCAGTTTTCAGTCAGAGTATCAAGTCCGTTGTGTCTTGAGTTTGAATCCTGAGACTACCATGTATTTTACGCGAATTCCTTTCAAAACGTTTCATGTTAAAATCTTTTGCCTACTTCCTCGCAAATATTACCATACCATAATAAGTCACAGAAGGCAAGACGGGTTGTACCCTTTTTATTTAACAACATTCATAATATAATAACTGAAGGCCAACACGGATAGTCATGACAGTACTCCGTAATTTTCTATAGTTGTTATTGTTGTTGATTGTGCGGTTATAATTGATGAAAAGTTACGGTTTTTTTTATTATTTGACATAAATATAAAGTACTTGAGTATAAGTACGAAATAACTAAAGTTGTTTATATATGCAACAATATATAAAATAAGTGGTTTTAATTGTGCCCTTGATATATGAAGTGTATACATATTATTGTGAGTACTTTTGTTAAATGAAACGCCTATTCAACTTTATCACTTATTGTTTATGTTTATAGTATGATGAGATTAGTTATATTGGAATGGAACAAAAACGTAAGTTAAGTAATAAAAAAGAGCATCGAAACACAAGGCTATCTGATTTGTACAAGGAGGCGTAGCCCCCCGAGTATAAATCAGATTGCCAAGTGTTTTGGCGTTCTTTCTCTTTTGTATCATAGGCAAAAATAAAAACTCGTTCCGTGTTGTCACAATATAAAACTCTTTAAAAAGTAACCAATGTACGAGTATCAGATTATGACATTTCTATCCTGTCGTCAAAATAAGTAAACCCCAGAGAAAACAAAATCCAATGTAACAAATACCTGCACTGCAGTTAACGTACCTTGCATGTATTGGTTGGGGACACATTTTCATTCAAAGTTAAGTCTCAAAATATTTTACAATACAATATTGTTTTACAGATAATTTAGGCTCGCACTGTGGCTCAGAATGAGCAGGGGTTACATACCCATTTATCTCAAACGAGGAAATATGTGTACTTGTATACGAAATTAAACATATTCTTATTTGAATATTAACATGATATGTAACATATAATTATCAAGAATACATTTCACCGGGGTTTTTCCACATTACTTCTGTAGAAAGTGAAAGTTATTCACCAGAAACGATCTATTATTCTCCCTTCTTATTAAAACATATACATGCATATTTACATAGTAAAAAAACCAAAAGGATAATAAATGCGATACAGAAAAAGATATAAGATGATGAATTTATTTATTTCCTTACGCACTTAATCTATCTTTCTTTAATACATGTTATAATCTAACATCGCTGCTATACATTAGCAATTTATTGAAAATAAATATTGTTTAAACAAAAGATATCAGAAAATTGATTTGTTTCTTTCAGCAGATCCGAGGTTTACAGCCTCAGAGATGGCACTCACTTCAGTCTTATCTTTCATTGCTGGTGTTGCTCTAATCGTTCTTGTGTTCTTCATCATAAAATTGGAAAGAAACAAAAAGATGTAAGCGTTCTGTTATTAAAATCATAAAGTACAGTACTTACGATGATTCTATGTACCACAAAAATGGTCATTTAATTTTAGTTACAGCGATGTTTCTATATTTGAAATTTAGTGCTTGATTTTTTTATCCAATAGAATTCATTATTTCAAATGAATCATAAAATATTTACTTTAGTAAAATCGACTAAATTGAAGCAGTCTAGTAAATCGACAGTTTTATGAAAATAATTAGTGTTTACTAATAAGCATTTGCTACATTTTATTGGTCAAGGGACCAATTTTATTCTAATAAACACCAAGGTGTCTAACGCATGTTCATAAATAATAAAAAAATGTCCAGATTTTCTCCACTAAAGAAGGAAAATCGTCTTTTTAATTATGGTTTAATGTTCACAAATAAGCATTTAAAATCTTATTTTTTGTAAATGCTTAATAACGAAAACTTACCAATATAGGGTTTGAAATATTTTTTCATTAACAGTCTATTAACTAAACTCATAAATTACCTCCATCGATTTACCAAGTAAATGTGTTACGTTCATTTAAAATACTGCAATTCTATTGAACAAAAAACATTTTCAAATGCTTTAACCTACCTCGTTTATGTTAAAGTTTAAGAGTTTTTGTTTTCAAAATTAGATCTAGATAAATCATTATTATCAAGTTAAATGACTTAGTCTGTTCCACTTACTGTCAAGCTCGCCAAGGGAAAAGGGGAACAACTTTTGTAAATTGTTGTTAACAGGCGCGTGATTAATGTCCCTTGTTTCGAATCGTTACTTTGTTCATGTTAATAAACGTTTGTTTATTTTATAAGAAAATTATTTTATTCATACCTTCAACGCAGGGACCAACTGGTTGTTGAAATACTGCAAGCCGCTACAAGTACAAATGCAAAATTTGACCTTAAATATTATATTAAATAAGTCGCGTTTTACCTTAATTGAAAAATAATTAAGTAGACTATAGCTATATTTGCGATTTCCTTGTACAGGTGTTTTAGAAAGAAAGAAGAACCATTCAAAGGCAAGTTTGAAGGAGCTAGTCAAAAGGCCACAATAAAAGTACGTTCTTTACTCGTTTTATTGAAATAAATATTCTGTTTATTCAATAAAAAATTATTGTGTTTAAATGATCCAAAAGGGAAATAAATGAAAACATTGAAACTGATGAACATGCATCTTTTCATAACAAAATGCAGATGCAACAACGATGTTATTAAATGCCCTACAAATGATGTTAAGTCTACGAACCGGGCGGGAGGAATCCTATATCCTTTTTACATTTACGTTTATACAAAAATAATACTTTTATTCGATTGTTTTAAAGCCTAAAACTGATACGCGCTGTAAATGTGATAACATAAAGTTTGTTTATTCTGCTATATAGACAAAGAAATAATGATTCAGATATTAGTAACCGGTAGTTCTCAAATCCCGTGGTATTTTTGTGTGTGTGTGTATGTGTGCGTGCGTGCGTGCGTGTGTGCGTGCGCGCACGCGTGTGTGTAAAAAAAAACTAGTTGTTATTTTGTTTACTCTTTATAATAAATAATATAACTAACCCGGCTATTAATTTAATTTGCAAAAAAAATCTAGAGCGATTAATTTAACTTCCGCATTATCAATTTCAATCGCTTTAATACGTTTGGAAGAATTTGATATGTCTATACAGTTGATGTAACTACACCACTACAGTCTGTTCAATGAGTCATAAACGGCTGTAAATGTATAGTTCATTTTAAAAAAAGACAGGAAGAAAGAAAATGTGTCATACATGTACACTTCATGACTTCTTATTGTTATAAATCGTAACAAACACAACAAAGTTTTTGCTCTTCAATATTCAATTTGGAGGAATAAAAAGATTTATCTACTCGGGTTATGAATAGAATGTTAAAGATATAAATTCCTCTATAATTGAAGACGGTACATCTGCGAACATAATCTTGTTACGTATCTTTAATGGTTATTTTTACGAATGCACGAAGGAAAATGTATACCGTATGAGGTAGAGAGGTAATGGTTGTTTTTTTTAAATTGGTACAACTTTTGATGTATATAATTGTATGTAATTCTTATATTTTAAGTTAAATTTTCTATTTTAACAGGTACTGAAGAAACATACACTTGAAAGATCTTCAGGAAAAAGCAGGGCTAATAAAGAGGACCAGAAATTAGATATAGAATCTGCAAATATAACATCATCTCCCGAAGTGCAAGCAGCTGTGGTTAACACAGAAGTCGAGACTAAACACTTTGAAGAAGTAATGAACAGTGAGGAGATTGAAAGGAACGAAATAAAGAATAAACAAGACACGGAAAATAGGAACACTGAAAATATACCACCGACTGAAAGAAAAGAAATAATACATGAACAAAAGATAGAAAAAATAGAAAGTGAAAATGAAGAATATGGAAAGGGCAACAATGAGACAAACGATGTGTCTATTGTATCAAATCAGGGTAACAGCGGAGAGAGTAACTGTCATGTTGAAACAAACGGACAAATTGAAACAGAAGTTGCCCCTGTCATAAATTTGCTGAGGTCCGAGAACAAAAATGTTGTTTCGAGTCAGTTGTTTGAAAAATCTAGAGGGAGTTCAGTTTATGAACACGAAGATTTGGTGTTTCAAAACGATAACTTTAGAATTAGTGCACTATCAAATATTTGAAGATATGTTAGTTTCATATCTATTCATGTTGTGTAAGAGACATTCCATCTAGAATTCTTTCAATGTAGATGCTTTTCGGATGGCACGCATTATTGGGTGTTCACTATTCTCCCATTTTTGACAATTTGAGGTTATTTAGGGCATGCAACCGTCTATAAAAGTACTCACATAGCTAAAATATTATATAAGCTGACACAATATTTTCATCAACTATTGCTAAATTTTTTATCCTCTTTACTTGCAATAGGGAACTTATATACAAGCTTTCATTTCTGTTTTGCCCTTGCAGATTTTGGCAACTTTTTGGCATCAACTGTACGGGAACATGTTACATTTAAAATGATATTGTCACGTAGCGAAAGTGGTGTGCTTTGTTTCTTTTGGTGTTGTATTGTGTCATTACAATTTCGTTCTGAAAGTTAAAGTTAATTGATCATCAAATGTATTGATGAATATAATGTTGCAAGTAGAAAGTTATTTTAGTTGAAATATCTGCTTTTAAGTGTCATAAAAAGAATTGTTTAGAAATGATAATAATAAAAAAAAAACACAAAAAATAACACAACAAAAACAATGACAAATACAGTACTTGCCAACATCAGGTAACAGTTACGATCTGTTCCGTTTTATGGTGCTTAAACATTATTTATCATGTATTTCTTATGCGATGCGAATAGAGATGGCTTAAATTTGAGAAAACAAGCTATTTATGTTGTTAGTTACAGCAGTGTGTGATAGTTTATACAGTTACGCAGTCTTACTGATGCTTTACATGTTACAAATAAGAAGCTGTATTTACATGAATATCATGCTATACTATCAATAAATTATTTATTTAATATTTTGTAGTGACATCATTTTGATACCTGCATACGTGTTTCTGCGTTTTTTTTTTTACTTTCTTTTGAAAGTTTTAGCGTTACTTCATCATAACAAAGAATTCTACATTTTCAATATTTTCATGACCACAGAGCAAACTCTTTATTAACTTGCCTAAAGAGTAAATCCAAATTTATTCTATCTTTCGAAATAACTTTTTGTATTGCAATAAGGGGTAATTTATTGATATCTATCGAAAATCATATATTTTTATATTTAGGCTTCACATTAAACATAAACAACAGTAATAACCTATTTTGACGGTTTCGTCCTCGCAAAATTATGTTTAGCTATGTTTACTCTCGCCACTGGAATATTTACCATATTGGATGAACATACTGTTTCACACAACCAAACAAAGCTAAGTTTTATCGGATATATTGCTCTAGGTATTGCGCAGGCTGGTCTTGATCCATGCTGGTTGCAAACCCATTAGGTTGGTTTTGTCGTGACACGGCTCATATCATAACCATTGATAGCCGTCAGAATTAAGCTGACATGTTTTAGTTTGACAATATATTTGCTTATTGACAATTACTATCGAATTCCGTGCACTTATTACCTGGTTTTCCTTATAAGCTGGTGGATGTTTTGCTACAACGTACAACACGTTATAGATAAAATAGAGTATAACTTACTTTATAACCTTACTTATTTATTCGGAATATCAATGAGCACACGTTCTAAGAATTTGAGCGTTAATTTAATGTGATATTCGATTTATTTCCGTTACGTTCACCACTTCTTTCAAATATGATAAAAAGGTAAACTACTGGGCTAAAAGCTGATTTTAAACTGGTATTTCTTAAAAGTGCTGTATTGTCATGATTGTTATACCCACTTTTTAAATATTTCCCTTATTCCGTTTCAGTAATGTGTTCAGTACAAAAAGAATCTGAAGTCATGTCTTATCTATAGTTTAAAGTAACGATTTAGCTGGAGGAAAAGGACAATTTTACAAACTCATAATTTATTTTCTGTAAGATTAAGTTACTTTCTAAGTGGTGGAATAAAGGAATAAAGTGAATATCAAAAATAATATAAGACACACTAAAATGTAATTGACTCTTTTTCCAATGTCATTCTTTAAGTTAGTTACTAAATCTTCTTTTTTGCAATAAATACATACCTATAAAAGAAGAAGGCATATATGATTTTGTACGAAAAGTTAAAATGAATTGAATTAGGCCTTCAGTTACGGAAGCCCTGGAGGGCATTTATTATTTAAAAATTATAACTTATTACCTATTTTTTATTACTTATCACTTATTATTTACAGACTATAACTTATATTAAGTATTCAACAACGGCTTGTTTGGCAGGAAAAAAACTGTTTACATAAAGACAATTACTGGAAAAGATGAAGGAGAACATCATTTATAGAAGGTCATGTTATGCGGAAGCCCTGGAAGGAAGATTATTTTTTATTACTTATTATTTATTACTTAATATGTTTTATATAATTATCAATTATTATATATTACTTATTATTTATAACTTACTATTTATCAATTTATTTCTTATTTCAGTCGAATATTTTTAGTTACATAATAATTTAAGAAGTATTTAGTTTTAACATATTTATTGCATACATTATATAATCAGACTACAACATACACAGATTTTAAATGATATATTCGACTCAAATAAGTAATAAATGATAAATAATATGTGATAAAAAATTAGTTATAAATAATAAGTAATATATTATAATTGATAATTATGTTAAACATGTTAAGTAATAAATAATAAGTAATAAATAATAATTTTTCTTCCAGGGCTTCCGTATTATATGACCTTCTATAAATGATGTTCTCCTTCATGTCTTCCAGTAATTGTCTTCATGTAAACAGTTTTTCCTGCCAACCATGTCGTTGTTCAATACTAAATATAAGTAATAGTCTGTAAGCATGGTAAGCAATAAGTGATAAATTATAAAAAATAGGTAATAAGTAATAATTTTTAAATAATAAATGTCCCTCCAGGGCTTCCGTATTCAGTACTGTTAAAATACTTTACAAAATTTTACACAAACGTGAAATTGAATCACAATAAAAACTTCCTTTTATACCTGGATTAAAAATTAAAAAAAAATGTTTAATCGCATGCAATTTGAAACCCACTTATACACAAGGTTACGATCAAAGCAAAAAGAAGGGGGAACCCCTTTCACATTTTTGTTATATTAACTTCCGAATTTTCTTCAGATATATTACAATACATCTGTCGTAAGAATTGAACACGTTCTTGTTTTGTATGGATTTTTCAAAGTTTCAGTACGTTTAACGCAAAAATTAAGTACCATATTGAAAAGAAAATGAACGCTCAGTGACGAGTGGTTATTTTGGACTGATAATAAAAACAACCATGTAAGTATTGTAATTGTTTTAAAATAATACACTATATTGATATTTACAGATGACAGGTGAATAAATAAAGCTTCATTTTACTTTTTTGTCTATGTAAATTGTACAATAGTTTTGAGCTTCTACATATTTGTATTTGTTTTTTTATATCTTTTGGAAATATGGCATAGTTTATCGCATATTACATTTAGTACCTAACTTTTAATCTATATTTTCTCCGTTAGTTAAATACGCTAAATTAGTTTACGGTATCTAGGGCTCTCGGCCTTCTTCAGCGACATTTATTATGTATACAAATAACGTACTTGAACTTGAAGTTAGTAGTATCAGCAGTATAGTAGTTATAGTATGACTACTAAATTTGAAGTTAATATCGGCAGTAACAGCAGTAAAGACTACATTTTGTATTTGTGAGAATGGTATAAAAAAACTACTTTTACGGCCAGGCCGTTTTCAAACATGATACATATGAATTTTATTTAGATGTTGAATAACATAAATATTTACATTTAATATCAAAGCATGTTTACATGTATGTTAATTACATCACTGATAAAATTGCTGAGGTCATGTGATCATGATAAGTAATATGACATCAGTACTGGTTAAAAACAACTCAAGTTTAGATATATACGTACATGGTTAAGGTAATCCGAATGTGTTTTGAAGGAAGAGATTCGGTTCTTTTAAACAATTAAATGTTGGTAGTTGTACGGTATACATATATATCTACTTTTTAGCAGCAGATGACAATGCAGAATTATATTTCAACATATGTTTTGCTTGGTAAGTACGATATTGAATTATTTAAATAATGTATTTAAAGATGAAATAAATCTATAAAAAATGTACATAAATCGCTTTATTTCATGCATGAAAAGTTTCTCTTCAGAACACACTAAAAACTTCCTTCTATATCTGGATAAGAAATTAGAAATTTTTAATCGCATGCAATTTGAAACCCATTAATACAAAAGGTCACGTTCAAAACAAGCATTAAATGTGATTATTATAAAATATTCTGAAAGTATAGGAGACATTCATAAAATTTCGAAAGATAGTTAGATAGATCTACCTGATATCGTTCACAATATGCAGACAAATTTAAAGGACAAAACAACACGATTTGGAGTCTAATCGGTGTATGTGTTTGAACAATTCCATCAAATACATGCCGAATTATTAACGACTGAATGTAATGAATTGCTTCTCTTAATTAACAACATAAGTAAACATTAGGCAGATTGTTAACATTTGAAAGCAAAGAAAATCAGCAGTAATTTGGTTTTGTTTATTTTTCAAAATTATATATAACATGTCATTTCATACAATGTCTGTATCAAAAAAAGAGTATTTTACATTTATCAACGTATTTGATTTCACGTTGAAAACCTGTTTTGTACATGATTTATATATATAAGAAGATATAAAGTATATAAGAATTCCTCCTTATCAATCGTACTTACAAAAGTTGGTACATTTTGTCTTTAAATGAAAGTGTCGTGCAAACACAAAATATAATAACTGAAGTTAATAAATTCCTTTTGTTGTTTAAACATTTTAGCATGGTTTATGAAAATCAATGGACAGTTGGTCTTTTCTGACGACAGCGCAGTAAAAACATGCGAAGAAAACCGTGATTATATTTGTTTATTTTCATATCGTAGTTTTAAAATAAATACTTAAGCTTTATATCCATGCACACGTTTAATTCTAAAATAAGAAACTCAAGTAAAAAAAGTCATTGACTTAATGTTTTGAATCTTGCACTGGAATCGTGCTGGAATTGATACCATTTTAGTTGGTTAGATAAAACTTGAAAAATACAATCAGTTTATTTTTTAAAAGATGACATCTAAGTTTGTCATAAATATAATGTATTTGCATTTCCTTTATTTATTTTTTAATCGTTTCAGTTAAACCAACAGTACAACTTCTTCATATGCTGTCAAGCTTGGCATTAAAAACCAACAACTCTTTTACCATGTAAGATGTTTCATTATTTCACCAAATTACTAGAAAAGATAAAAAATCAATTCTTTGTTTTTTCGTCAACTGAAAACTTACATTTTGCTGATAATATGTTAGGTTCGCCTTCTTTTTCTGATAAAAAGAAACAAGCCAAGAAATGCATATTGTACTGTTTACCAAAACCTTTGATGGGATGTAAATGATAGTGACTTTTATACCTCAATATTTTATATTTAGCATGTATGTTTAGATTTTAATAAATACGTTTATGTATTGAGTCAATTTATATGCATACTGATTCATACATTTGATGTAAATCTTGTTTGGTGAGATTCATTTTTATTTTTTATCAAACAGAATTACTTTAATGTTAAATAAAATTTTAAAATCTCTAGTTTAAATATGTGTATTGATATTTAAATCGCATGATGTATGTAAAACATACAAGACACTGAAATAGTATCAGATATTTTGGATCGCCCCGTAAGTATTTAAGTCATGTTATGCAATTTGTAAATCACAATATTCAGAATGGATGTTGAGCTTTTTGGTATATACATACTAAGATATTAGTCGTGTATTATGAGTTATTCAGTTTAAACAAAATGTTTCTCAATAATTCAGTATACATGAAATATGTCTGCTAATTTAGATAATAGTACACAGACGCCTGTCGAATTATTAGATATACATATGTTTCAAATTATCTCCTTGACAGTCATGATAATTATTTCTTAGAGCTATAATAGGTAATTGAATATGTATGTATATTTCATGTGTCAGACTATTGGTTGAACAAGCATTTTATGTTTCTTTTATGGTATATAAACAGCTACACAGAAGAGCATGTTGCGAAAGAGATTTGGGATAAATTAAGGAGTGGTTGTTCAGAAGGTAAAACTATCTCTTCTACCTCTTAAGTTATTTCCTGTCTAACAGAGACATATGATAATAACTTAATAATAATTTTAAATATGTGTCCTTCATACTTAATTTTACTCCAGCCTATATCTTTTACAGAATTGGAACTGTCAACTGAATCTTCATAGCTACATTAACAAAAATAGCAGGATTGCAATGTTTAAGAACCATAGCTGTTTAGCTCAGAGTGCTCAAAGGTGAGCTTATTTGACGTAATGGCAGTGTGTCTATCGTCCGTCATACGGTGCCTGTTGACCGTCGTTTTTCATACATAGATATCAACAATTTCTCCTCTTAAACCATTACATGGATTTTTATCAAACTTCACCGGAATGGTCCTTAATTCTAAATGGTGCATATGTAGGACACAATCTTTAAATAGAATTAAATGTAATGCAATTAATAAAATATTTTTTAGTCACTTGATTGTGCGTAAATCAATTATTTTTCTATTCTCAAATACTTCTAAACATAACAACAACGCATTATAATAAAAAATATTATATATTAAGTTCGATGTATTTGACAAAATTATCGAGCTTAAATATTTTGCATGAAACATTGTCTGGTGGACCTCTACCAAATTTGTTGATGTGAAAGCTCGTTGGTTTAATTTCTCTGAGTACGGGGTGAGGGGGCTTTGATTTTCCTTTTATTTATGTAGTAAAGTTATCAAAAGAATTCTTTTAAAATCACAAGGGCTAGAAATAAGATATTTTGCACGAAACATTGTTAGTTGATCACTTCCAAGGTTGTCTGGGCCAAAATTAGCCCCTGTTCGGGGTAAATAATTTTCAAATATGTATATTGTGAATACTTAAAATCTTTTCACTGAATTCACAATGACTGGAGCTTAGATATTTGGCATGAAACAACGTCTTGTGAACCGCATATAAAGGTATCCAAATATTTGTCCTAGGGTAAAAATTGGCTCGCCCTTTTAACCAAAGGTTTTTTTTATATATTATTTGGTAGAAATTTGAAAATCCACTTCAATAAACCAACAAATACTAGACCTTAGATCTTTGGCACGAAACATTGTCTATTTGGTTTCCACAAAGTTTGTTCATATTGTAGACCTAGGGTTAACATTGGTACAGCCTTCATATATGTAAACACTAAAGTGTTTTTTAATCTTATTCTCAGAAACGACAAAAACTAAAGCTGATATATTTGGCATAGTTAATTATGGTTAAAATTGAAGAGTGACTTGCATACAGCCAGTAATTTTATAGTTACCATTGCTTTTCATGACAACCAATGACTTCCAAAGCAAAAATGTTCCATAGCAGTCAATGACTTCTACAGCAATTAATGACTTTCCATATCAATCAAAGGTTTCCATATAGCATTCGAGACTTTCCATAGCAACCTGTTACTTTAATAGCAAACAGATACGATACTTTTCATTGCAACACGTAACTTTCCCTATCATGACTTTATTGAAATTCCATAATAATTAGTGACTTACATAGGTACCATTGACTTTCCATAACCACCAGTGGTTTTATTTCCATAGCAACTATTGACATTCAAAACAACCTTTGACTTACAAAAGCAACCAGTGACTTCTACAGCAACTGTTCAACTCTTGATATTCCACATAAACCAGTGATGACTATAGTAGCCACCGTCCAGTGACTTCCTGAACAAACATTGACTTCCAAAGCAACCAGACATTCGTCGCTTGAAAACTGTAATGTTCTATCTCCAATTTTTCCAAAATCAAGTTAAATACACAATTTTGTCCGTAATGGACTGTTCTATCTCCTTGGAATGTTATATTAGTGCTTCAGAGCTTCATAAATAAATTACAACGAAACCATCCTGTTCTATCTCCACAAATTTAGTATATCTTGATAAATAGACTGTTCTAACTTACTGGACTAATCAAATCAGCGATAAATGTCACGTGACCTGTGGGATATATGCAACATACTGTTCTAAATCCAAAATTATCGTATCAAAACATAGCATAAAATCACGTGATAGCAGGACACCCGCCATGTTGCCATGTTGTACGAAACATTTTGATTTGGATGGTTTGTTGTTTATTTCATATATTAATACTAAATATAAGTATTGAATGATATTATGTATTCATTTATTCCCTCCAATCATTGACATTTTAGTTTTAAGTCCTGTAAATTTACTGCATGTGATTAAACAACAAGCAAAACTGATCATGATTTGAAAGTAATTTCGGATGTGTATTTTCGGATAGAAACAACTGTGATTATACAATTTCATCAAACAAATTCGTAAAAAAGAACATTTGTTATATGTTCTAAAGTTTCTTTAACTAAAGGCACATTCTGCCTCAGAAACCAATTATTTATCTTTATAACAGCCACATATGACTTTAAAAAATTGACTGTACTCATTGCCAATATGAAACAAAAGCATAAGATGGTTTAGGTTACTGACCATCGTGGAATATTTTGGGAACTATAATAGAACTCCAAATATCAGGCTTTTGAGAGATTAAGATAAAAGCATTTTTGGGGTAAAAAAAAGGCCTTTAAGAAAATTTATAGATATTATACGTTTACATATAATATATGTTTTCGAATGCGTTAATGTTATATAACTAATAGATTGCTTTAAAGTACGAACATTTTACAGCAAAGACAGAAGGAAGAAAAATATTCTAATACGTATATTTTGTTTGTCTTGTAATTTGACTTTGAATTTCTAAATGAATATTTATATAGCATTATGTATGTTATGTTTTTGTACACGAACAATCTTTAAATATGACATTTTTCAAATATAAATCATGCCTGTTCCACCTTTAAGGTATTTTCTAGCAGATATGTTTTCATTGCCTACTTAAGTTATAGAAACATTTTTTTACATACCTTCAATTAGAAGAATTTCTTACCAACATAAACAGAAAGTGTAAAGCGCATAACATAATAATTACTACTATTTCATACTTTTGGAAGGAATTTGAATTTGACCATGTTTTGAATTTTCATAAAAAAAATTGAAAGATTTTTCCAGTATTCTAGAAGATTTGGAAGTTTCTATTCCCGTTTGCGGTTAAAACTTTCTCTTTCCAGACATTGAATCACTTTGAATGTGGCCAAAGTTTTAAAAATAGATAACATGTCTACAAAATGTATGAGGGTATTTTATCTTTATTTATTTAAATTATTTGTTTAAATGTCATTTAATAATGTAATGGATTTAAGGATTTTAACAAGATTTCGAATGTCATAGTTCATAAAGTTAGATACATATGGTCTAAGAAATAGTGTAGTGTCAAAGTCAACTAATAAAGGGATAATTAGCCGAGAGCATTTTTGGCAGCCTTTTAAAGATAAAACATACTGTTTTATATGATATAAATCAATTCAACTTAAAAAACATAATGTTCTAAGTCACATTGAACACTCTGATTGTAACAATTTTTGAAAAAAAAGTTACAAGGACTGTTCTATCTCCAAATGTTTTTTTAGGTTTTTAAGCAAGGAAATATTAAAATCCACATATCTTTAACGATATTGAGATGTTCTCTCGACATCACGTTTAATAGTTTTTAAATTTTCAAAATCCGACAATAAATAAAAAAGTTATGCAATACTAAATCTTCACATGCTTTTTTCTCAAAAACAACAAATTGGCACTTAGAACAAAATGTTTTCAAGCGACGCAGTGACTTATATGAAAACAAGCAAATTCCAAAGCAACCACTGACTTCTATAGCATTAATAGATATCCATATTAACCGATGGACCTGAACATTGATATTAGTTCGTTACTGCCGTTCATTCCATGTATATTCAAAGCTATCAGCATTGTTGTTGTTTGTTTGCCTTGTCATGAAGAGATTTTATAGGCGATGAGCTATATAAGGGACATCGTGGCCATCTTTTATATTTATAATTTTCAAGTTATTGCCCTTTGTATTTTTCAACAACTTTGTTTATCAGGCGCAAAACCAAAGTGAATTTATTGAAATCAACTTGACATTTCATAGATTCCTTTTCCAAGAATCATATGTTTTCTGTATACTAATTAGTTATTGCACTTCAAACACATATTTAAAGTCAATATAGTGCATCAAGAAATAAATTATGTAGATGTACATTCACTTTTCACTTTTAGGATCTTTAAGATTCCTAAAAATAAAATGAAATTGTCCAGTTACTGACATATGGTGAGATACTCGTGTTATCTCACCAAATAAAACTGAGATTACTACTATATCCAAATTATGCTTATTCCTTATCGAATGAACTGGAAATTTGAGCATCTCACCTCAAAAATCCATATTCTACATATTATTAACATGAAATACAAAATCACTTTAAATAATTTCAAAATAATATCTAAATATCGTTCTATTCTAAATGATATAAGTCACAAAATATTTCAGTGTTATTTTATTTTTAAATGATGCCATTCTTGGCTTGACAGCGCTCATTTTTTGTGGTTTGTATTATGTTCTGTAGATAATACAAAGAAGCTTTAATTTGTGCATTTGATGAGGGATATCAATTGGATAATTTGTAGTTTGATATCTTGTTTTAGAAAGGGAAAATACATGCTTCTTTAAACTGCTTGGACACTTTAAGGCTACTATATCAGTGGTTAAGAAAGAGAATCAACACCAAGAAGCAAATCAGCACCTAGTTGATATATCTCTTGATTTGATATCTGAAACACCCGAAGAACCACCCAGAATAACTGATGTTTGCAAAAACTTGATTTCCTCCATACAATTGCAATGCAAGCCTTGTCCAACATGTCCAGCTTCATCTTTTACAAACTGTGATACTGTGTGCAGTACTGTTAAAACAACAGCAGCAGTAACAAAAACGAAAACACCAACACCAGCAGCCACAACAACAACAGCATCATCGGAATCTCATATTGATAATAGTCTACCCCAAGATACGACAAAGGAATGTCTACAAGCATCAACTGTAGTTATTGCCAGTTTTATATCCTTCATTGCTGGTGGCTTTTGTACTATAGCAATTGCCTTTGTCATACGCTATTTCCGTAATAGGTAATGTGACATTTATTTTTGTCTTAGAGAAAAATGATAGTTTTTGTCCAACTTCATTTGGTCAAACGTTATGTTTTACTAAAAGTTACATATGCAAAACATATGTCTAGTTTACTAGATTTGTCCACTAGAAACAAGGTTTATTAAACTATATAATATTAAACTATATAAAAGCCTAGCGTATTAAAATGATTTACACATATGACAAAAATCATCTATTAATACTTGTACTCTTTAATATGAAAAAGAAATATATGAATGGTTCCCATGAAGTCGTTTTTACAGTGTACGTTTCGTTCATGGGGTCAGGATATATTGTTTCTTTTAACAGCAGTGCAACAAATATTGTCAGCAAGAATGGAAATAGAATTTAGTTCGTTTATCTTTGTTTTTCTTATTAACTCAACATGTTTTGGTAACAGAACACGTGTATTCATTAATTCAAAATAATAAAATGTATGCAGCGAAATTAATGTCATAACCTTTTTTGTTAATATAGACAAAAGAGAATTGATTCAAACGAAGGCAGCACAACTGTTGGTAATGCACCATTGGATGACAAGGTAGTGGTATGAAATAAATATTTGCATTGGATGAAATTTTTCAGTTGACTTTTATCTTAATCATATTTGTAGCTTTACTAAATACGTAAAGTTGATTAATTAATGAAATACGTATTTGTTTTTATTCTAAAGGCTGTTGCAAGTCCTAAAGATAACATGCAAAGAATGGAAATGACTTATGAGACTTTAAAAGGTAAAACATGCGATGACGAAAAAGCCGTCAAGGAGCATGTCTATCACGGACTTGGCACACACTTGGAATCTAACAAAAAACCAGAAGTGACGGATAAGGAAGAAAATATATCAAAAGAAGACTTTCGTGACAATTTTCAACATAAGAATAGCCAGACAGGAGACCATGTGTATAATGCTCTTGAAATTAAAGAACATGCTGATCTTTATAAAAATGCAAGGGCAGAAGCTTACAGTGAGCATACATACACAGGACTAGCAAACAGAGAAGATGAAGGTTCTGTTCCGTTAGATGAAAGTACGGGGAATTCTGGAACAAATGATCGTTCAAATGAAGGTCATTACTTCATACTAGAGAATACCAATGGCAACGAAACAAGAGCGTTAGGTGGCGTAGAAGAGCAAAAATCAAACATAGATGAAAAGACTGAGGATGGTCTCAAAGACGGCGACCATGATTATTTTAACTTAGAAAAGATGGGTGATTCTGACCTACCAACTCATAAAGTTAAGCAAAATGATGACGTTAGCATTGGTGAAACTGAAGAAAATACATATCACATTCTTGAAAAAGTATAATAATCAGAAATGCATTTCAAGACTATATTCAATTTACATAATCATAGCTCATTAATTTCTGATAATACAACATTATATATTGTTGAAAAGAAAATACCTTATCATAATACTAAAAAAGTGTACATAATTCTAACACTCACGTGATTTTGTCACTATAGACAAAGAAGGAAAAAAACCGGTGTTAAACTGACAATAAACACTTGTTAGGGACTACTTGTATATGCGCTGTTATGTTTTCACCCTAGATTGTATAGATTACAAAGCATTTTAAAGCAACAATAAAAGGCATTTTTATTTATATTTTCAGTTCGTATAATGTTTTCTTTTCATACAATACCGAAATAATATCTCACATGCACTAACGCCACATATTACATCCATATCAGTTAATAAATATTTTGACAAAACGGCGCCAATCCGTAAGCAGCGTAATGACGTCATCCTAAGTAAACAACTCATTCATAAACAAGCTGACGTTATTTCATACATACAAGAATGATAAATGGGGCACTGATGTAAAGACAATACGACGTAAGTTTTTATTGTTGAAAACTTGATAAAATAACGTTTTTTTTCCTATTATATCTATTGTGTAATAATTTCTATATCTTCGCAACAGTAGGGTGAGGAAATTGAACAGCGTTATACGAAAATCGGCACCGGAAGTTATTTACGCTTGAAAAATAACATTAGTGATTTTCCTTATTTTATCGTGTTAGAATCGAAATAACATCGGCCTGAGAGGTGTATATCGGCTATTTAACACCGGTTTGGAGTTTTGATGCGTAGGAATTGACCACGAAGGCCGTAAGTCACATACCATTGCCACTTTTGTGACCGCGTAAACAACAGTATTGTCCGCCCTTGCACATAATTTGACGTGACGTTATTTCTATTATACAAACATAGTGTAAGACACGCTAAATGCACGTCAGTGAAAACGTGGCTCATTGTTAACAGTTCTTATTTTTGATATGTGCTAAATAGAAAATTACATTCGTGTTGCTTCAGTACTGAATTATTGAACCCGTTGAATAAAATATATGGTGTTTGTCAGTGGCTCGCATAATATGATTTTATTCAACTCGTTCAAATCAGTATATTGAACCATCACTCATTCAAGATCGTCTTTATAATATGTAATGTCTATTCACATTTTGTGTTTATTTCTTTCTCTTTGTTTGTCTTTTTCTTATTGTAACATGCCTAAGGATGATGTCACCATACATAAGAAAAAAAGTGAAACACTTATAAGGAACTATTCTTATGCAGCTGTTATTTTTTCCCTATCCGTGAAATAATCTCCGCTTGAAAAAAATAGAGTTAGTGACTTCCCTTATTCGTAGTCAAATCCTATGCATCACTCTAAACCGGTGTTACACAACCGACATACACTGCTGAGACCGATATTATTCTAAATAATAATGAATCTAAGTAGCATTGCTTCACAATTATTCTGCTATTAGTCTGTTCAGAATCTTTCCTATTTTAAATTTCTTTCCTTCTTGACAGGCATATTTTCATGGAAATTATATAAAAAAGTAACTTAGTTAGTAAAAGTTTGAAATGCCCCCCCCCCCCTCTCTCTCTTTGATGGGTGATTCTCCCAGGAAAAATGAAACTTGATAACTGGTGGCTTTTGGTGCACTTTAGATGCACATTTTTAAACCGAAATGTCTTCATAATTTCACAGTAATTACATATTATTTTTTTCAAAAGTGAAAGAAAATAAAATCTATAGGAAAACTATGATTTTAATTTTTTCCAGAGGGTGAGAGGCCCTTAATGGTTCTGCTATAGGCAGGGGAAAAACCCTGATAATGTATGATATAGTCTTGAGCTTCAGTATTTATATAGATTAAAAAGTAAAAAATATCTGAATATATGTCATCACATTTAAGGTTATTTTTACAATTTACAAGTAAATGTATTTAGATGAACTAAGAGTAAGTGGCTCTTTTCTTAGGCTAATTTACTCACTATAGTGTAGGCTTTACACTGACCAAGGGTAATCTACATGAAGGTATTGTCTGCATGTATGTAAAATCTTAGTCATTATGCCGCCAAATTGGACTGAAAGAAGTTTAAGACAGGAAGTTCAGCTTGCTTTAGGGTCATCTAAAACAGATCAATAAAGGAAGGGGTAGATAGACCAAAAACATTTAACTGTACAGTAACTGCTTTGAAAAATTATTTAAAAATGAGGAAAATCAAAACAAATGTACGGATAAAGTCACATTTTGTAAGAAAAATGTAAATATGTTTAGAGAAGGGGTTCTTTTATTTCTTATACGCGTGTAAAGGAAATTTTTATTTACGATTTATCACCTATCTGATTGAATACAAAACAAAAATCAGCAGGCCTACATTTATTTAGGTCAGGATTGCTACTTGGCTTGTAATCAAGGAGTTTGTCACCGCATAATGTGTGCCGTAGGCATTAAACTCGCAAAAGTACGAAATGTCAAATTTGGTTTAAACATATTTATTTAAGCTCGATTGCGAAACAAGTTCTTGCAACTTATATAAATCACAATCGAGTCCGCTTCCTGGAACCAACAAGTACTGGTGTCGTATGAAAACATGGTCGTGACCCGAGTAGGGCTCGAACCCATGATCTCTGGGTTAAGAGGCAGACACCTTAACCACTAGGCCACCGCTCAAATTTGACCCATTAGAGGCTGAAAGTGCATCAAAGTGAATAACTGGCTTATCCGACAAGAACATCTTTAGAAATATCCAGGTGTAATCATTTTATTTTCTGGAAAAAAAAGTACAAGGAATTAAGGATTTGTCATGCCTATTTAAAGTACTTTGTAAATACATAAACGTTAATGCTCGTGTCGTGTAAATTCCTGTAAATTCCTCGGGGGTTGTTCGTAATAGAAACCTGGCAGATGGTAGTCTGATACAGCTATAAATTTGTACATAAGAGAAAGTGATGTACCAAACTAAGTGTGCATTTATATTATTATTTATCGGTCAATGCTTGTTTTCGTCGATAAATTAAAGTGAACATGATATAGCCAAAATTAATTAAAAAGTTAAACGATACATTATTTTTGTTCAGCTAAATGAAATGACATTAAACATAAATTTATTTATCACTGGTCTTTACTGTATTAAATATTTTTGGGTCAATGTCACAGTGCAGCAGTATTTCAGCTATCGCGTATCGGTGACTGAGCAATATGGTTTATATCGTTTATACGACCAAAATAAGTTCAAGATATGTACAAAAGTAATAAACATATATAAAATGCTATTCATTTGCTTGCCTGCCTGTTAGTTTTTTACGTCGATTTTAACACATATTTCGTAAAAACTCGGCGGTCAGTATCCGGAAAAAAGTAATCTGTAATTACCAATTCTTAAAAGCTGACTGACCCACGTCTTTAATATCTAGGTCACAAATTAAACGGCCGCCGCCTGATTTAAAGATTTTTACAACATCGTCGGCTTTGACCATTTCGCGGACGCCAGGCGATTTTAATCTGATACCTTGCGTGTCATGAATGAAACTGTCGCCGGGGAATTTTTGCCAAAATGTTGTTACAGACATCATCCAAAAACCGGGGCAGCCGCCGCCCGAAGTCTGGACGTCGTCTGAGCGAGATATAAATGGATCGGACGGTCGCCGCATGGGCGCCGGGCTGTAATGATATTCTTCTACAATTCAGTCAGTGATCAAAATACCAGCAAAGAAGGCAGTTGATAGAGACAAGATGAATACCATGCAAATAATGCGGCCTTTTCCTCAACATAATTGGACGTTGGAAGTTCATGTTAAATCCATAAGAATTCATAGATTCATTTTTTAGGCAACTACAAAAATCTCTAGCCGCAACTACAACAAACTCAAGCTGCGTGATCGACGTACCACAAAACTATGACCGCCCTGTGCCTGTGCATGAATCGTCCGGGTACCGGGCGATACTCGGTCGTCAACTCAATTACTCCAAAAATTATCGACCGGACGCCGTAAGCTTTTAAGTAGTACTTAAAAAACCGACGGCGCCCGCCCGATGAGCAAACTGTCCGATTGTCATGGTAATCGGACGGACATCGGCCGGTATTACGATTTTTTTGGAGAAAAAAGCACGGCGGCCGTTTGTCATTTATGACTTACGCATTAAGGATCAGTTGTGAGAAGCAAGTTACCATAAGACTCAATTTTCGCAAATATTTTTTATACCAGGGAAATTTAAATATACTCGAATATTGATCGAACCAAAGTTCCACAGTGATTTTAGCCTATTTGAATACTTTAAAACCTGGGGTATTGCGCTAGGAGGGTTATACCTTAACACCATATGTTAATAAATTTGGTAATAAATGACAAGCACTCCTCTGTTTCAAATCAATACCCTTTATAATTAATGTATTAGTCACAGGTAAATATCCTGGAAATATGATCTTTACCTCACCAAGATATTCATTTTGTTTGTATTCTAAGGTTATACATGTATATTGCTACGTAGTGGTCGATGAAAAACAAAATATTTAGCTTTGTGTTCCAACGATCTATTCAATAATTTAAACAGTCTGTTTCTTAGGCTTACTCAGGGATTTTTTTCTAATGACCGTTCTGTCACGAAAATATACATAGATCTAAAAAATCAAGTAAAGAATGCACGTATTATACACACTGCTATTTTATAAAATTATTAATCACATAAAACACGGCTTGTATAGGGTTTACAAAAAAGTAGTCATGAAGTGTTTTAAAAGTTGAACAATTAATATTGTAACTAAATATATAGAGGATATTTGTTTAGTTCAGTGTAACATCGGAATATATTTCACCGAGTGAGCACCAAAAGGTATATTTCACGAGTGGCGCAGCCACGAGTGAAATATGAACTTTTGGTGTTCACAAGGTGAAATATATTTCGATCTTACACTAAACTAAACAAATTTTCTTTTTATTACAACGTTTTTAAAAGACATTAAACCTAATATTGAATGAAAAGCGCGCCAAATAATAATACAACGCGACGTCATTTACGACGTCACGTCATTGAGTTGGTACCCAGTACTGTGCACGCTGGTATTTCACTGAAACAACGTGAGGGGCTTAAATTCAAAACAGTGAAATTATCAAAGTGGTAATTTCACTGTTTAAAACAGTGAAATTACCAGTTTTATATCACTGATATATTTCTATAAACCACCGAAAAGCATGTAATAAAATTAAAATAATAGTTGTTTATAGTATCAATCAAATAAGTCAAGTTATGTAAAGTTGAATCATAACAAAACTTTTGGATCATTTTATACATGTACATGTACTAATATATAAAACAATGAAATCGAGATTTAGACAATAAAGTTCATAAAAAAGAAAGAAAAATAAGTCAACGACAATTTACGTAAACAATGTACTTGAATCATTTCATTGAATAACGTTCTTGTATCTCTAACAAAATTAAACAATCTACAGTATTTTTGTCACAGCACATTATTGTATATTGTTATTAACTTTAACTTTTTTTCTAGTCAACATACTTTAAAATGTCTGACAATTCTTACATCAGTGTCAACATTGTTAATAATTCGCCCGTAAAATTGCCTTATAAAGACGTGTAACTTTAAATAAAAAAGAACCTTTCCGAATAACATATCATTTAAAATACATCAAGAAGTCTATTCGCCTGACATTGTAGACACAAATGCGTATTATGGGTAAAGTATAAATAACACCTGTAACCAACAAAAAACTTTGTGTGTAGTTGTAAAGGAACTCACTCCTAGTTCAGTCTCACATTGTTCAATGGACAATAAATGATAATTTGGTTTTTTTCTTTAATCCGGCGCAATTTATAATTCATTCCTTTTTTTACTGCTTCACCTTGAATCATTGAATCAAGAACCCGTCCAATATGTTGTTGACTTTATCCCAATCCACTGAGATTGCCTCACATTCCTTCATTGTATTTATCAAATCGCCCATGGTATTTTGATTAGGACATTGCATATTCCATTTGTGCAACATGTAGAAAATAGCTGTCTCTGTACAATGATTATGGTCCATTTTTATTCGTTCAACATCTACTTTGCTGATACCTAACATGGGTCCTAATAGCTCCCAATTCTGACCGATAGTTTGGGCAACTTTCGTCAAGTACTTTTCCGTGACTTTCTTTTGCAGACCTTTTTCGTTATTAATAATAGTTCCATCTTGAAACCATTCTGCTAATGCACTCTTCGTAATTATTGCATGGTTTGAATTATCTGGGCAGCATACACGATATTTCTTTTTAATGTTCTCTAATCCAAAATTTGAACATTTTTACTTCCTTAAACATTTTTTTGAACGGAGGGTTTCCCAACTTTAGGAAATTTAAGAAAAGGATTATCGTTTTTTGTTGCAATTTGTACGGCCTGAACTCTTTTTTAAAGCGGGGTTTCTACAAAACCCTTAGGGGAAACGGTCACAAACCCACTTTAAACTTTTTCCCTGGAGGGAAATTGATTAAATACTGCTAACTAAATTCCCTTTTCAGAAGAATATCCCAAAAAACCCTGCATGTTGAAGGGTTTCCGAAAAAGGGTTTAGAACGAAGTACTCTAAAATTACCAACATATGCCATCTACTTAGGGCGGCCTTTCTCTCTAGACTGCTGCAGAAATTTCTTTAAAATACATTTTTTGATAATTTTGTATTTCCCAAAGAAAGCCCCCCAGTATAAACTAACGAAAAATTTTTTCCTTTTTCAACACATCTCTTTAAAATTGATTGATCGCCCTCGCTTTTTAAAAGACTTGGAACAATATATTTCCCCGTACCCCTTGCATCACTAGTAACCTCATCAATTACCTGCATCTCAGCCAATATTCGATGTCTCTGCAAAAAAGCCAACAGAATATCTTTATGTTCAATGAAACGGTTTTTGTCATCATGCTCCCAAATGGTGTTCAACAGATATTTGTCTAGAACTGCTGTTTCCATCAATTTTTCCCATAATTCATGTATGTCTGATTTCCACTTACAAAATCGTTTAGATGTAATGATACATTTAAAAGCATCCACCAAAAGTTGCGGATCAATCACGACAAATTCCCGAAGTTTTTCTTCATCAAAATACACAATTGTTCCTTTTGCATGGTGATATTTTAGGAAAAGCTGTAACTGTTCCTCATCATTGATAGGCAAATCTGTAGACTTGTCTATATTTTGAACATCCTCATATTTCAAAATCTTTCTATTTTCTTTGTTTCCTTTTAATGCCTCTTCTAATTGAATCCATTTTGCAGGAACCTTGCTGCCTTTAGCTTTTTCTGATCCTATTTCAAATAGTGCTGTCTTTAATTCAGTAATACCGGGGTCGTTTGGATCTGTGTTTTCGACAGCAAATGGTATCTTGTAGATGTGATTTCTGGCTTTCGATTTTATAAAGAGATCATATACGTCGTCAAACTTCTTTTCGATATCACTTTTGCTGATGCAATCGGCCTTGTGTGTCCCTACAAGTATTATTGTTGGTTCTTTTCCGTCCTTTGTTCCGACAAAAGCATGCACTGACATGATCCAAAATTTCAAGCATGTCCTCATATCAAACTTTTTGTCTGGAAAGTCTTCATCCTCTACTATGCTATTAAGGTCCTTCGTTAGGTCAAAAACTAAAAGATATATTGCGTCCCTTGAATGAAAAATCTGGTGTGTGGCATAATATATGAACTGTCCTCCAAAGTCCCAAATATTGACGTTTATACCATTGCCATTTTGGTTTGAAGCATAGTTTTCATCTTTCAGTTTTTCTGTAAATTCTGAAAGCAAATCTACTGCTTTTATTTGTAGCACTGGCTCGTTTATGATTGCTTTTTCTTCAGATACGTCTAATCCCGATGTGAAACATTTCTCTATTTTACTGTTGTCATTTGAGGATGTCTTTGAAAATGATGTTTTAGAAAAGTATTTGTCTGTGACTGCTGCTAGACAATTGCCTTGATTTTCTATTTCGTCAAGAGAATCACATGTATCACCATCTTCAAATGATTCAGCATTTTTATCATCATCATCATCATCGTTGCATTCTACTTGTAGCATTATATCGTCTTCCTGTTCATTGCCATCGTCTAGTGTTTCAGTATTATCAATTGATTTTATGCTTTGTATTATAATGTTTGCTAATCGACGTGCACCTTTTATTTCAGCAACATTGGAACCAGTTGTTTTCCATGTAACATTGTCTTCACAATTTGCTGCATGAATATCTATACCATCTGTACTCTCAATGTTTTCCATCGGAAGCTGTAAAAGCCTTCTTGTTAGACTTGTTTTTCCCTGGTTAAAATTTCCGACAACCATTACTCTGATGAAGTTATCTGATTCGTTTCCTTCTTTCAGTGCATGCATAAAAAGTTGTTTGTCTAAGGGATCAAATCCTAATTCAGCAACCTGTAATAAAAAGGTAAGGTTATATCGTTTTTTTTGTTTATCGCATTAACCTTTTTGTTTGATTTAACGTCACACCAACACAGCATAGTATATGTCATCTGACTTCTTTCTAGCTTTATAGGTGGAGGATACCCAACATGCCTTTCCGTGCATTATTTTACCACTGGCGTTCAATAATCTAGCTTCATCACATAAAGGGAGTCCTTTTCGGGTTTCGGAAAAAAGTGATGAGGGGACGTGGTTTTAAGTCAAACGACTTTTACCACGCAAAATATTATGATGGTCTTCTCCATCTTATAATCTGGACAAAAGCTTTCATCATTATAATGGAGACGATATTGACGTAGAAGCAAATAGTGTAGTCAGTGGTCAGACGACACAGATGTACCAACTAATTTTATGGGTAGAAAAAAAAAACTATAGCGTTTTCCGTACCTGATCAATGGTAACATTTAAAGATACATTAAAAATTTAAAACTAATTTAATGTGTATTAGCGAAATATTTAGAATGTATCTAAAGCAAATATGGAATATTGCATTTGTATTTTATATCGATGCAGCACAAAAGCTATAGTGAAATCAGTTTTATTTATTTTGTTTACGTTCTCATAAAGGCGGCAATACTATTCTGGTTAGTATTTCAAACGTTTCATATTCATATGGCACAAAATGATCATGTGATTAAGGAAAATTTTTCTTGCTGCTACGATCGTTTTGAATACAGACATTTACTTACGCAATCGTCTTCATCATCCTGTATCTTCAAGTAACATTCTGTAAAAATAAATGAATAGATATAGAATCGTGGGATACAAAAAAGGGTAAGAAATAAACACTATATTATAAGTCAACCAAATTATATTACAAATTAAATATAATAAACGATATGTAAGTGTATACGTAAGCTGACTAGAAACTATGTTTTCTTTTTCATAAGTAAGTTTTGAAAATATTGTTGTTTCATGAAAATATGCGCAAACCTTCAAGATGAGTCTTCAAATCCTTGAATGTAGGTCTATTAGAAGGTTCCTAAGAAAATGAAAACAAAAGTTTGGATAGCAAAAATAAATTTAAGAAGCAAGATAAATTAATTATCAAATATACTCGAAAAGGATTCAGAACGCCATATAATTGCATTAAGCCAGTTTGACTAAGGTTTTATTTTCTTATGTTTAACATCATGCAAAGCATTATTTAGTATCTGATTGTAATCAGATGAAACTAATTTCAAAACATAACTTTTTTGTTATTGATTTGAAAATTGAGTAAAAATTCGAAAACATATAACTAATTTTTCCCGATATTTATCCTAAACATGCTCAACATACGAGAGTCAATATTATTAAACATACCAATTTCCAGCACCGCAACATTAACATGTCTATGTCTTTAGGACATGAAGTCGGTTTTGGAGGTCGGTAAATCTTTATTCTTTTGACCTTTCTGTTACGGTCATATATGAAAGGCACATCACCACACGTAAATATTTCCCACATTAAAACACCTAAACAAATTGATTTAAAAGACAAGAGTGTCAATATGTATATCATTCATAAAAGGCAGTACAGTTTAGTTACGCTTATTTTATCTGAATAGCTCATAGTCACGAAGATTTTGTTTTTATTTAACACCAGTTTTTCAATTTTTGTGTCCTTTTTTAGTTTCCAAAGTAACTAGGGCAGTTATAGTTTTTAACCATTTTGAAAGGAAGTCAAAATACTCCTTTAATTTACAGATTGCTACATTGATGACAAACAATTTCACCTTTGGCGCTCAGCATCTAACATTCTAAAGCCATTATATCAACCTTATTAACTTCATGTTTGCTCTTTCTGAAGAAGGAACATATTCATTTCTGAGGAGTAATCTGCCTGAAAGGTTTTTTTTATTGTATTATGTATAAAACAAGTATTTGTTAAGTAAAATATCACTTTGCGTAAAGGGAATCTTGCATTATTTTGCTTTTCTATTCTGGAGAGTGGTATTGTCACGCTTCTGAGATTTGTATTCAAATTGGCATTTTAATTCACAATTATAACATTTTCTCAACATTTCTTAAATTAGGTTTATCATTTGTGAAGAAAACATATCGAGTAATTATTTATGAATTAAAAAAGTAAAAATGAAATATCATAACAAAATCCTGATGTAAACAAAGTGTTTAATACCATCAGGGTGTATTGTAACAGACAAAATGTTTTCATTGTAAATGATGAGATTATTTATGATATATTCAGACGGACAATAAGTTACTGACTGCAAATGTATTCTTTATTACTACTAAACGAATAAATGTTATTACAAAATAGCATAATTACCGAATGACCAGATATCTGACTTGATATCTCCTTTACCAGAGTGATAAACTTCGGGTGGTGCCCATGGAACCCGTATGGCATTAAAGTTCACAGTTTCTCCTTTTCTTATAAACCTGGTAAGCCAAATACAAACTTAAATATGAAAATCAAATATAAAAGTTTCTTTATTTTTTCTTTTAACTACTGGACATTGTATATAAATATGTTCACTTTAAAATGTGGCAGTGTTCTCATTTCATTTTATTATATATAATTTTATGAGGTAAGTACGACATTGCAATGACCAGCAAGGAAATGGTAATAATGCATTTACTTTATTCACTTTTCATTCCTGTAATGTTACAAGTTAAAAGGTTTACTACTTTTTTAAGTTAAAGGTTGTCAAATTTAAAGGTTTCTACCTTTTTCAAAAAAGTACACTTTCTGTTTCAAACAGTTACAATAAAATCATGCCGTCAAATTATCTCCCTTTTTCACAGAATTAAGGATAACATCTTTAGCGGAAAATGTAAGAATTTTCTGAAAGCAACTTTGCTAAAACAGCAAGCCATAGTATTTATTCAAAGGTATAATATAGTGCTAGGGGAGATAATTAAAATAATTCCGATAATCAATATAAATGACATACTTTCAATTTTTATATTTTTTTTTCATTTTATTTTTCATATTAAAATTATATTTAAAAAAAATACAGTAGACATACTAACCTCGCCCTAGCAAAATCTGAAACTTTAACGATCCCATTCTTGCCTACCGAACAATTCTTTGCTGATAAGTTACAAAGAATATATCCTTGATTATGTAAATATTCCATCCCTCGACAAACTTGACGACACATATCTGTCAAGACTTCACAATCAAGTAAAAGACCTAGTCTATTTGCTTTAAGATAACTGTATAAGTTTCCTGAAGTAATAAAATAGGGACGAATTATTTCAAATAAAACCAATAACATGTAGAGATTACATGAAATTAAATAAATTGTAAAATTATTAAAAATAAAATACAACCAAAATATCGATCTGAATGTACAGCTATCAAAAACGCAAATATAAGAGATTACTTGATATACTAAAGATTCTTACAGAATTATTTTGTCAAATTGGTTATTTTGGACAAGAAAATAGCAAAAGAAAAGGAAATCACACACACACAAACACGCACGCGCGCGCGCCGAGACACCTACCCATGCACAAACGCACAGCACGCACACGCACACACACACACACACACACACACACACAGCATAAAATTATTTTTTAATTACGTTTATTCATGTGCGATGCACAACTATTTCACAAATGTGCGCACCAAGGTTTCTTAAAAGGGATTACCTAGGGTACATATCCCGGTGCAAGCAAGCAAATATTAAACACAAATTGTTATATATGTTCAGAGTGCTATACATGTTTACAGCATGATAATATATATCTGTAGATGTTTTATTAAAATGTTATGAGATTTTTTACACATAGTCGCTGCTCAAGTTGCTTGAAAACTTCTTGAGCTTGTGAAATGGAAAGTAGATGAAAATAAATTCTTAAAATCAATGACCAATTTTTACTTTTAGCCAATTTATAAATTCTATAGAAACAAAATGAATACAAAACCATAGTTAATTTTTACAAAAAAAATAAATAAATAAATAAAAACAAACCATCAAACAAACCTATTTTATACGTAAAAAATAATTCCTTTATGTAAGCCCAGGATAAAAGTTGTAGTAAGTGCGGCACTTAACATTAAAACAGTTTCAATATTTTATGGTGATATTTTTTACATTAAAAAACGAATGTGTCCGATAGGGCCCGTAATCCTTAAAACTAATTTCTAGTTTTAGATTTATCAGCCATCTTCTGTAACAGATCGGAACCATATGCATATTTCAAAAGGACTTCCCACTGTATGGGTTAATGAAAATCTTCCAAGTGCTAAAGAAGGGGGTGTCGTTTAAAGGTTTTTCTACTTTTCGCTGTTGCTGCATGGGCTAAGCGGGAAGTAAAAATAAAAAATGACCGATGCCGGACACAGGGTGAACTAAATTGTTAACACTGAGCATTTTGTGGTTTGGTGAGTTAAATAATTCAAATATATGAGATATAGATATCAAGTACACACGTTATGGTCCACTTTTTTCTTTCTTAAAGCCAACATGTGTAATGCTGTTAATCTTGTCAGAGGAAAATTGTTATTAATTGATTACAACAAATTAACGATAAAACAAAACTTAAGCACAAACCGTTCTGCATGAACTCTGTTATTTTCATCAACGGTAATGATTTGGAAACTATGCCGTATAACTGTACCAAATTTGGATGATTTAAATGACTGAAAAAAATCAAGGAAACATGTAAAACAATAATATCCCACATCCCACTGACTATCTATTATAAAGACTTTTTTAAATGTTGAAAGAAATACTTGAAAAGACTAATCTGGATGCCATGTATTCTAGTACTTGACGATATAAATAAATAATTTTAGATGAAAATAACTCAGTTAAGTAACTTACGACATAATTCTGGCCTCCGTCAACATATATTCATGAAAACTATGAATGTTTTTAACAATCTCAACTGCTATTTCTGTCTTTCCAAATTTACCTCTATGTAAAACCTGATAATTGATAAATAACATTTTAACGCATATAATTCCATTTTTTCTACCTGAAATTCAAATGAATGTAAAATAAAACTATAGTGTTAGCTTAAGGACATTTCTATTGAAAATGTGTCAGAGATCAGGGAAAGGGTTTTCATTCTACCATATAATACAAAAGATTCGGCAGTATCATTGTATACTCGGGGATACACTCCCTTCGTAAAAATCAGATACCCTCTTGTTTCGATGCTCTTTCTGATTCATAGTCGATTGTGGACTGTAAAACTGATTCGCTGCTAAATTAAAAGTAACACTCAAGAAAAGTAAACTATCATTTTTCTTAATTCAAAAGAAAATTTGTATCCATTGAAAAGTTGTTTACAAAAACAACGTTAATATTAAAATGCCTACTATATTAAATAAAATGTATATTAGACTCACACCAAATCTTCCTGATCCGATTTGCCCAAAAACCTCCAAGTCATTTTTCTCGATCTCCAGTTTATCTGAAACTATTGTTATCAACAGTATCGTTATTATTACCTCGCTTTATCTTTAGAAACCGTATACATACAGTAGTAACATGACTCAATATGTTTTAACAATAGGCAAGGAAGAAAATGAACAGGGGTGAAATTGCCATTACCTATTGTCCTACCTTTATATCAAATGAGAACACCTAAGTTTGAAAATGACTATTTCTCCAGGACCGTTTACATTAAACTATTTCTCTTTACGTTGTGTTAAATAAACACAACTAAAAAGGTTGTGCGAATTGTTTTGAGACAGTGTAAATAAAAATGAAACTGCTTATGCATACATTTTACAAGCATCGGTAACAGGTTTTAATTGATTAAGTTAAACATTATTATTTTTCCACTTTCTCTCCCTTTTGGTGAACTTACAACACTGTCTATACGGGTAAAAGTCACGTTGACTCTACACAATGAGACTGCCATCCTGCTAATAAAATAATTTATATCTTCATGTCTATCACAATTTACCTTTATGTCAGCAAAATATCAGTGCCAAGGACCATATTGATCCCCATTCTTTCCCTTTTAAATATGAAACTTGTCTGTAACAGGATTTCTGACCCGAACCCAATGTCTGATAACTTCGGAGTTAACGTTAACATCGGGGTCTTAGAATATATTAAATTAAGTAGATTTTGTCTACTTTGAATATATAAACTTGATTTCTATCAATTGACGTCAAATGTTTACACAAAATAGTGGTAGACATAGTTTTGATTGTACGCGCTATAATCACTCCGTAAAATATTGTATTGCATGGACGTGCATATTTTTTGACATAACGTCTTTTGCGCTATTAAAATATAGTATGAAAACTGGATAAATAGTGATCCCTAGAAAACATTAATCACAGCAAATAATTTGAATAATGCCAAATGGGAGACATTATTTACGG